TTAAAATATTCAGATAAAATATTTTTTCAGTTTTTAGAACAAATTATTCATTTGGCAGCAGGTTTTGGCACATAAACTTGCATTTTGAGGCATTTCTGAGGCTTTTAATTTTTTTGAATTTTATCATAACGTAAGGCTATAGTAAGTCTATAGTATGGCTTGTTTGTGGTGATATTTTGAAATATTCAGATAATATATTTTTTGCAGTTTTTCTTGGCAGCATGTTTTGGAGAATAAACTTTCATTTTGATGCATTTCTAGGGCTTTTTTATTTTTTATTTATTTAATTTTTTGCAGTTTCTCGTGACGTAAGGCATGTTTTGGGTGATATTTTTAAATATTCAGATTATTGGCATGCAACATTCGCTGTGACAACCCCTGAAAAAAGGGACAAAGCTGAAAGAAAAAGAAGAAGAAGAAGGCTTTTCTCTGGTGAGTTTCATTTATTATACCTTTACGTAATTGTTTTAATTTTTGCTGGGACTCCTTCACAAATATTTTTGACTAAATTTGCAATTCATAGCGGCTACAGTTTTGGGGGAAAATGTTGTGATCTGTTTTCCCCCCTATATACATTCTACCAACAGGTGTCGCTGTCGGATATTTCTGACCGGATGTCCTCGCTTTCCTACCCGGAAAAGGAGTACCCGAGGAATCGATAGTGGAGGGATTGTTGCAGCTTGTTCAAAAGAGAATTTTGAAATTGTTGAGTATTTATTTGTGATAGTACAACGCAAATTAAATCAGCACGCAGATCATCCAAGTGAGATTCTATTTCACGGAGTTCTTTTTTGAAAATGTCGGTTGGGCCTCCGAGTCGCTCATCCACGGGCTGGCCGCGCGGTGGTTCCGTTCAGTTTGGGAACAAATACATTAGCGGGCCCGCAAAACCGCTCACCCTGGAGAGGACTATCAATCTGTGAGTCCATGAGTGCCAACGGCTGGTAACATCCCATCACAAATCTGCATTAGTGTATACTAATATATTGAGCGATTTGCGGTACTGAATTAGCCTACTAAGCTAAATGAATTGAATTTAGGGTTGATATGAAATTATAAGAATTCAGAATTATTGGCAATTGTAATAGCACGCTATCTAAAAAATAAATAATAATAGGGTGTAGTTATTTTTAAGGTGTTACTCAGTCACTCAAATTTATTTTTAAGTTAATTTCAAATGTTATTGTAATGTTATAGTTGTTTAGACATGTGAACATTTTTTTGTTTTTTTTTCTTCTCAGATACCCTCTGACCAACTACACATTTGGCACTAAAGAACCCCTCTATGAAAAGGACAGTTCAGTGGCAGCTCGGTTCCAGAGGATGCGGGAGGAATTTGATAAAATGGGAATGAGAAGGACAGTGGAGGGTGTTCTCATTGTCCATGAACATAGACTTCCTCATGTGTTACTGCTGCAGCTTGGTACCACTTTCTTCAAATTGTATGTTTGTGTTCAAGTAAATTGTTTATTTATAAACTGGAAGAATTACCATGTTTTTAATAGATTGATTGTTATTGTCTGCAGGCCAGGTGGAGAGCTGAATCCTGGAGAAGATGAGGTGGAGGGTCTGAAACGTCTTATGACTGAGGTAGGAGTCACTGCGACATCTGGAGTCCCATGTCACTGTCCTGACTCGAGTTTTTAAATTAATTGTTTTTTGTTCAAATTTAAGATCCTTGGACGACAGGACGGAGTGAAGCAAGACTGGGTGATAGATGACTGCATTGGTAACTGGTGGCGGCCCAATTTTGAGCCTCCGCAGGTTAGTAACACACACAGAAAAACTATTTTCATCATTTAATGAACATTTGTTAAAATGGTTAAAATTTCTCTAAATGGAACATGTAGTGAAAAAGGCTAATGTTAGCGAAGGAAGCTAACAGCTGTGTTCTAACAAAAACAACCATGTTAATATACTGTTGAGTATTTCTTTACCCCAAATTCTTATATTGGTTGTTTTTATTAAAATTTTCTACTATAAAAATGCAATTCAAACAAAAACTGCTTATCAGTAATACCTTGTACTTTCAACTCATCTTGCTTCTGTTTACAGTATCCCTACATTCCAGCTCATATCACCAAACCCAAGGAGCATAAAAAACTGTTTCTGGTCCAGCTTCAGGAAAAAGGTGTGTCCCACATTACATTTTTAGAATCGTACTTCATCTTAATGGTAAATTCATGTACATACAACTCAAAAGTGATTTGACAAGAATTGTTGCTTCTCGTCTTAAATTTCTAAAATGTGTTTTTTACAGCACTGTTTGCTGTCCCTAAAAATTATAAACTGGTGGCAGCTCCTCTGTTTGAACTCTACGACAATGCCCCTGGATATGGACCCATCATTTCCAGTCTACCCCAGTTGTTAAGCAGGTGATGTTTTTATTTTGTTTGGGTTATTTTTCTTGCTTATGATCATAGGAGTTAATGTAATTTATTGAAAGGCATTACAGTGATAGAGGCTGTTGTTTTAACCTTAGCTATAGGGCAGGAAGAATAATATTAAAGTAATATAAAAGTAGATTGGGATCTACCAGTAGATTGCAAAGGGAGTGCTTGGTAGATCATGAGCAATTAAAATGAAAATAAAAACAATGTCTAGGACTAAATTAGCAACAAAGTATTGAATCATGCTGTGCCATACAGCTACAGCTATTTAATCAAAATATAATGTGTATATATAAGGTATATTCAGCTCATATGGCTAAATATATATAATATTATTAATGTATGTAGTTCACTTTGATCTGGTCATTTGAAAAGCAGCTCTCAAGCCAACAAGTGTGAACACCCATACATTTAAACACTGTTAGATATTCTTCTGCTTAGCCAGACCTAATCACCATGTCTTTTATGTTTCTTCATGTTTTTACAAACTCCCACTACGCCTGTTTCACTATAATAACGTTTGTATTTTCTTCATAGGTTTAACTTTATCTACAACTAACTTTGTGAAGCAGAAGTCTTTCTTGGCTGTCTCTGTGAGTACAGCCCCAACTGAGGAAAACTGAGAAGATGGAAAACAATGTGTTTGATTAAAGAGACTTGTCTGATTGACTTTTTCAGAAGAAGAGTTTGTCATTTTGGGTATATTAATAGTCCTTTTGGTTATTTGTTTTGTTTTTTAAGAAACTGCCTGTTTTGATATTGTGCCACAAATATTTGTGTCCTGAGACTGATTTTACAGTATGTAGTCTCAAATCCAGGACATTGTCTGATTAAAAAACTTCAACATTGAGTTTCCTGTTCTTTTAAAATGTAAGAAGGCTGTTGTTTTCATTTTTAATAAATCGATCATGTGTGTTTTATTATAAGGTGGACCAGGTGTTTTTTAATTATTTAGACAAGATTTTATTAGGGTACTTATTTTCTAAAATTCTTATTAGATCTTATTAGCATAGAGAATTTATTTTGGAAATAAAATTTGACTAAATATTTTATCACAATTTCTGTAAAAAAAATCTCTACATTTAACTTACATTATTTTTAAGAATAACAACACAGTTGTGGTAATACAGTATAATGAAACAGAAAGGATACGGAGACATGGTTTATTTTACTTTAAATTCAAACGCCTTTCAGCCTGTACTATGGGTAAAAACGCATACACGTCATCATCCTGCGACAACATCGCCGTGTGGCTCAGCACGTCACTCGTGTGGCAGCTGTGAGTGTTTCCAAAATTGATTGACAACGACGTAATAACCTAGTTCGCATTGTATGGTTTATAATAATGGCGTCGAAACGGAGTCAGGACAAATGTGATAAAAGTGGGAAGAAACGGCAGAAGAAGAGTGAGCAAAGAGCGGAACTTACTTCAGTGCTCCAGGATGAGCAGCTGAAGAGGGAAGTGAAGGAAGCGTGGAGCCTTAAGAGTCGCTGCATGCTTGGTGAGCCACACTGATGTCCCCCGCTGGTATTAGAGGAATCTTCTGGCCAATCAAAAACGGTGGCGTAACAGTCGAGCAGTGTCAGTAGTAATAACTGTGATCAACCCACCAAAATTGTCACGTTGATTCCGAACGCAACTTACTGTTGCTAGCAGCTAGAAAACGGATTTATACTCTTGATGTGTTTATAATGTCATGACAAATACAACCTAAACCATTAAACAGACGCTGTGGTCTGTCTAACTTACTAATGAGTAATGACAAAAAGAAAGACATATCCAAACTTTTGGTGGGTTTTCTCTGGTTACTCAGGCGTCTGAGCGTGAGTATAAAATGTAGTTTGTTTTTATGTGTCGCAGCAATGGACTGCGAACTGTATTTTCCGCCCTTGCACCTTGACTGCTGGAGATGGCTCCAGTCCCCAAGCTCCAGATGATGATGATGGAAATTGTCTGTGTAGTTTCTCAGTCATCCAGGTCATCTTATCAAAAAATAGATACGGCAAAAAAAAATAAATAAAAAAAAATAGGCAACTGGACGGAGTATAAAATAAAATAAAATAGGCAACTGGACGGAGTAAGAAGCTTCAGTCTTACTTACTCCAGTTGCCCTCGATGTAACTGAACTTTCATTTGTGTCTCACTGCCTTTTGGTGGCCATTTTGTATACCTGTCATTGCCTTTTTGAAGTTATTACTTAACAACTTATTATTACCTAAACAACTTATTACTTATTTGTAATTCGGCTAGTTCTCCTGAAGCATTATTGCCCTTTGTCATGTTTGTCTAGGGGATCTAGAGCTGGACTGCCACCCTTTTCCTCACTGCATCATTAAAAACTTCCTCAGCAGCGAGACATTTGTGGAAAACCTGCAGAGGGAACTCTTGGATCTTAACTTTCACGAGAAGTCAAATGATCTCTACAAATTTAAGCAGGTTTTATTTACCCACTTTTTAAACATATATGTTGCATTTGAGTGTTACAATAACTTCATAGTACTTTCCTGTTGATGTTATTATCCAGTCAGATGACCTTAAGAAGAGAAAAGAGCCACATATTGCAGGACTCAGGTGAGTTTGCTAACTCATTAAAAAAAAGACTTTTCTTCATGAGCAGAACTTTTGGCTGTAGATTTGGTGTTACTTAGCATGGTGAATATTATTTCTGTGGATTTACCTGTGGCAAATCTCACTCATATTCTTCCAAATATCTACAATACTTCATATATCCAGCCTTACTTTGTTGAAATTTAAATTTGGTGTCATGTATTTGTGTATTTAATGATTTATAATTTAATGTGTAAATACATAAACTTATTTTTGCTGTGTTAAATGTAGAACTCTGGTATTTTATGCTCAGTTAATGCCATGCCTTACTAAGTCATTTAATAAAATATAACTGTTGTCAGGGTTTATTTTCAGCTTTCCTCCTTTCATACGTCAGCAAGTCTGCTAGGAATATGTAGGTCACATTGGTTTTGATGCTTTCATAACCCATGTTGGAGAATTAGGGTCTTATAATTTCCTGAAAAATCCTAGTTATTTAATATTTTAAGTCACGTATCTGTTTGTTTGTTTGTTTGTTTGTTTGTTTTATAACCTACAATGGTATGGTCTGTGTTGTCATAGTTTGTTTTTCTTGGGGGTTTTTTTTAAATCTTTTTTTCTCTAGTGTTGAGAAGAATATCAAGAACATATTTTAAGTACCCTAAAACTAAAACCTACGTATAATATATTTAATGAAATAGCCAACGAGTTTATTTTTACGTAATCTATAGCAAAGATGCCCAGAGACATTTTGACTAATGTACAGAATAATCTCCACTAGGTGGAGCCAGAGTTCACATTTTCGCACAGTTTACGTATTTGTTTCAATTATCCGGCTTCCTTTATTTATTGCTGGTGTTTGTTTTTTTTTTAATATATCAACTCATATCGGTGGTTATGACTGAGCTTCTGCTGCTTCTCCACCGTAAACTAAAACTCCCTTAGAAGAAATAACTGTTTTTTGTTTCAGTCTGTCTCAGTTTGGCTCTTTGATAATCCAGTGCAAAACTACTAAATGTTTTGGTAATAAAAGAGTGACAGTGAAACTAAGTCAGTGCTATGTACAGGACACTCACACTTCTAGACTTCATCTTTATTTATAATTAATGTTATATCGTAACAAAGTTGCATTTTCTTTTCTTTTATATTATATTATTATTGTTTGTAGGCTGAAGTGATCCTTAACTACAAGCTAATAATAATATGCAGTGATTATTTTAAGCTGAATTAATCTACCCATGGAAAATACAAGTCATAGGTAATTGTACAATAAAGACCTCCTCCCTTCATCATCTATTATTTATTACACTGCAAAATGTCATAGTGAGCTTTCAGACAGCAGAACAATCTGTGTGTGTGCGCGCATGAGTGTAAGCCTGGAAAATGCTTCATTTCATGCAATGGTAAAGGCGTAGCTTTTTGTCTATTTTACAACAGGAGGGAGGCCAAGTTTTAAGATTGCAAACCAGCATGATCCAATTTGCAGTGTAAATACAGACCACATCCATGTAGTACATATGAAATGTAATTGTTTTATTTTTACCATTTCCTAATTCTATTTTTGATATAAAAATTACCCATGACTGGGCTGTATGTTTAGTAGTTTACTCTACAAACACACATTCATTTTTACTGTCGTTGTTTCCATTTGTCTGTTTTTTAGGGCAGCAGTGTTTCAGCCTTTTCGCTCCTGGCTGTGTGAAGTGTTGGGTTTGGAACTGGAGCCCACCGTGGATATTTCATGTGCCAAATATGAGTACACAGGTGAGCTTAGTGTTAACACTTTACAAACACATTCTTTTATTAAAATACCAAATAATACAAATGTACAGTATTTAGAAACTATATTGTTAAGAAAAAATATAAAATTCTGTTAAATTGCATTTAATGAAATAACTTGTTAGGGTTTTTTTTTAATAGATGTTCTCCTGTGTCATGATGATGAACTGGAGGGAAGACGCGTTGCTTTTATTCTCTATCTTGTGCCTCCATGGGAAAGCAGTGATGGAGGAAGCTTGGATCTATATGCAACAGATGGTGACAATCCAAATCTCTGTTTCACAACATCAGTGTCTTTTTACCCCTGTTATATATTATATTATATTTCATAATTTTTATCAGATAATCTTCAGCCAACGAATATTGTGAAGTCACTTGTACCATCCTTGAACACACTGGTCCTCTTTGAAGTTTCTCCAGTTTCCTTTCACCAAGTACGTTTTCTATATTTCCCAAAAGAAACTATAGATCTATTGTGAAAAGCATGACATTCTCCCAAAATGTAATCTAAATAAATAATCCTGTTGTAGGACATATCCTAAATAAACTCATAATTCTGATAAGTAATGCAGTAATTATTTGTTTAAATTGAATTTTTGTGTAAAATCAAAACAAAACAACCTATAATGATTAGAAATCTGACTCATGTGTTTTCCAGGTTTCAGAAGTTTTGTCACGAGATAAGTGCCGTCTCTCTCTGAGTGGCTGGTTTCATGGACCTACACTGGAGCGTCCTACTCGCTACATAGAGCCACAAATACAACGGAACCCACACTTGCCCAGAGATGTGAGTTTGGCTGAAGTTATTGTGCTATTTGTCTGGAGTACACGAACATCCTGAGATGATCTCCGCTGAAGCTAATAAAATATAAATGTTTTATTTGTCAACCACCTTTATTTGAGTTTGATGTGTTTTTAAAAATGTCAAACAGCCTAAACTTCAGTTTATGTCATGACAACAGGAGACACTGCTGCTGGAGTGGATCAATCCAATTTACCTGGACATTGCCTATCAGGAAAAGATTCAGGAAGAGTTTGAGGACAGCTCTGAAATTCAGCTAAAAGACTTTCTTAAGGTGAAGCTTAAAATGTCTTTTTTTCTGTTATTTTTTTCACAAGATTTTTTTAACACTTTGTGTCCATCTACAGGAGGAAAAATTTAGGGAAGTGGCTGAAGCACTCTCTCAGATTCAGTGGACCAGGAGAGGTCCACCAAACAAGAGGTGCCTGCTGTTCAGTTTGTTTTCACACAGTCAATGTTGGGCTTGATTTGTGTTTGGAAGAATTTTTTAGTCTGTTTTATAATTCTTAGATGTTATGAAGTGGCCTCTGTGCACTCCTTACCTCAGTGTGTGAGTGGCTGCTGGGAGCTGCTTCATTCTGAGGCCTTCTTCCTGCTGCTTTCCAACTTCACTGGTCTCCGACTGCACTTCCTGTGCCCTGCTGATGATGACGAGGAGGAGACAGAGGGAAATATAGGCGACAAAAAAGCCACTGTGTCTGCAAATGGATCAGAGTCATCAAATACAAGCCAAGAGAAAGGTTGTTGTCAGTTTTAAGGGTGTCCCTAAACAGGTTTGTACAGCTGTGCTTATGTGTCCATTATCTGTGTGTCTGTGTTGTGCAGAGCTGAGCACACCTGTGTGTTGTGGTGAAGTACGTCAGTGGTCTCATGGCAGCTACACTCTGCTGCATGATGGTGAGGCAGCAAGGGCAGAGTATGCCCTAGATCTGGTTTTACCATTTGGCTGTAAAGGTGAGACTACAAATACACACCCACACAAACAAATTGAGAACACAATATCAATCAATAATAATAATAATAATGTGTAATTGTTATTTTTTTACAGACTGGCAGTCAGAGTTTGGAGGCTTCACCTGTTATGTTGCTAATGAGGAAGATGAGGAGGTAAGTTTTGATCTTGAGCTGTGTCTGTTTCTTTGGCTGCAGCCTGTTTAGCCTCTGAAGGCTGGACTGTGAGGTTGAACATCGTTGTCAAACAGGACAATGCTGCTTGCGGTATATATGGAAATCTCAGAACCACCTGAGCTGTGTGCCATTTCTTAATTAGAATCTCTGGTCTACAGAAAACTACTCCTGGATTTGTGATACATCTGGTGATGTCTACTTATTAGGTCAAAAGTCAGCTACATGCTTTTGTGTCAATCACTGTATTGAAACAACTGCCGGATCTGGCAAATGTAGGTGACATTTGCTGAAGACATCCAAGACAAAGCTCATGTTTACCTGTTTAATTTGTCTTCTTCACAGCTTCTGACTGTTTATCCAGAGGACAACTCACTCGCCCTGGTCTACAGAGACAAAGAGACACTAAGATTTGTCAAACATGTCAACCACAAAAGCTTTTCTGATTTTGCAGAACAAAGCAAAGGCTGTAGAGCATTTTTTGACTTCTCCTTTGTGTACTATGAATAAATCACATTTTAAGCTAGTTATTTTTTACCTCTCTGTTTTATAGTTAATTTATCATTTAATTTGTGGCCAAGGTGCAACTATCAGTACCTTTAAAGCATTTATTGTTTAAGTTTCCTTGTTAGTTATTTATCATAACGCAGCTAAAAAACATGTTCAAAATAGGCCTGCTCTGAAACGGTGTGGACTTCATCGTGGACCATTACTTTGATTTATTTTTATATATTTAAACACGACAGCGTTTTTATTGTAAGGGCAGATAAACACGAGTGGGAGCAGTTTACGTAACCACAGCACATGTATTAGCATGAAAGCTGAGAAAATGTGATGGAAGTTCATTAAGACGAAAACAGCCTCAACCTCTTTATGATCAGTTGTTATCATTTTAAAGATTCAGTTGTTAGATTCAAGGTTTCAGTTGTTAGAAACAACATTTATGTTCGGGTGCACGTCATTGAAACGATTTGCCCTACATATGCATATGGGGGGGGGGGGGGGTAAACGTTTCCTTCCCGTCATCATTTCTGCCCCTGGCGTAGTGTTGTTGTGATGGCCAATCAGAGCAGTTCTTGGTTAATGCTCAGCCAATGGGCGGCCAGGAAGTTCACAGTGCATCAGTGGGTGTGGTTACAGAACCGGAAGCGTCGGCGAAGATTATAACAAAGTTTTAAGGTAAGTGTCATTAAACAACTTTTCATAAATATAACTGAATTATTGTGAAGGTACACAACCAATCTCATTAACTGTGTCCAACAAATACCGATATTCCACTAGTGTGTTTTGCCGACATTTTACGGCAGGTGTGTCTGCTGTACGGGAGCTTTACCGTACTCTTCCACAAACACCAGGCACGTTTTCGGTGATAGTTATCGAAACTTTTGTGAATTTCTGTGTACTTTATGAAACAGTGAGTCACTGTGGTACAGATAATACTGTGTAAATAAAGCGAGTATTACAAAACTTTAAACATAACTTTATATTTTGCTTCATTAAACCAGCGAACTTTACCTAAAGTATTTTATTTGTTTCCAGATATACACAACTACCGCTTTTGTAAGATACCTAGCATCCAAGTGACAGTAAGTGATAGATTATTTACTAATACATTTGTCGATAGAAAGAAACAAGTTGGCACATGCATTTTAGGTTGAATTATTTGACAACAATTAATGAATAAATTAATAAATGGATGAAAGTAATCACTGCCATGTGAGACTTTGTGCAAAGTGATTTTTGTTGTACAAGTGAAAGAACGAAAATGTGTTTTCATACAAAAGACGAATTTGAGACAAGAGATCAGTATTTCAGCCTTTATTGTCAGGTACTTATCTTCAGATCTTAGAAGGTAACACCTTTTGTTTGAACACACCCATTTTCACCACATTTTAGGAATGTGGGCCACGTGTCCAAATAATAATAAGCACTGAATAAACTTAAGAATTGCTTGTGCAATTTGTACTTAGTTATGATTTGATAACAATATAAAGAATAAGGAACTGTCCATGAGACAGGTGAGAGTAAATGTACAATAAGTTAATAGGTTAATTGATCCCAAACACACAAGCTTTAAGAGTCCATCAAACATCAATTAATGTTTTGAATTATAACAGGTATTAACTAGTAAGAAGTGTGTCATAGTTTTTATTTCCGGGTACAACTTTGCATAATAATGTCTTACCATGTAAGAAGTCACATTGACTGGCACGGAAGGTTTTATACAGGTAGAAAAGAACAACAAACTGATACCAAGTCCCTTCTCACCACAAGTTGTTCTCGGAACAATGCAGTCAAGCAGGTAATCTTTTCTGGCACACGCCACACTCTGCCTGATGCAGTAACCCTGTTTTCTGCTACTTGGCAATAAAAACCCAAGAGGATCACAGTGCACAATGCTAGAACCAAAGGAGGTTTGGAACTGAGGATTTGTAGATTTATAGATTGTATAAATTGACATGTTGCACTGGGGGCACTTTACTGTACCACACATATTTAGTGAAAATTGCATGTTGTGCCTTATGTGTTCAGTACTTATGTTCATAAAGTGTTGGATACAGTTAATGCCACTTTTCTTTGTAATTGTAATCTACTTTTTTGTGTATTTCTTCTGGCACCTCTTATACACAGAAAGAAGAGCAGCTTACATTTATGCAAAATAGCTTTATTAATTACTTGAAAAGCATATTAGAAAGTAAAAAAAAACAATTTTTTTTTCAGCTTAGTATTAATCAAACTCTCCAGGGAAATACTACCGCGTTGCCTTTTGGCAGCACAAGCCAAACGATATGTTTTAAGCTCCTGATGATCACTTAATCCTCATAGAGCTGCTGAAATAATCTCACACTATACTTCCAGAGTACTGGTAGATAAGATCATCATAATTATGCAGTGGCTAAATTGTGGAGATTCCTGTGTAGCCTTTTGCCAGCACATGGTGTATTTGTGTAATATGAGGACATGAATATAATCCAGCTAAGAGGATGCTCTTTTCACGCAGCAAGCTGCACATCCCCTACATGAAGACAACACTGAGAGCAGGCCCTCAGGCTCCAGAGGTTCATCCGGAGCACAAGAGTTGAAAGTGGGTGGCCCAGGGGAGGGCAAGGAGGGGCTGAGATTAAACATGTTTTTATGTAATGAAGGTTGGAGTAAAATAGGATAAGGTGGGGTGAGGGCATAACAAGTAGAAGCCAGTATCACATATGTGCTTTTAAATGCAAGAATACATATATTTCTCCCTGATACTGGTCAAAGGAACTGGATTTAGTGAGAGGGTTAAGTGATTTATTTTACCCATCACTTTAATGAAAAGTCATTGCAAAAATCTGCATTCTGTTTTATATTGAATGAAATACTGTGTGTATTTGACTGTTCATGATGTCCTCATTTCAATCATAGCATACAGGCCACTGTTACAGTATACATTACATTACATTATAGGATTGTCACATAATGTAGTAATCTATAATGTAATAAATATGGCCCAGGTCCCAACTTAAGGTCTTAAGGAGATTTTTTTGTCACAAATAATGTGTGTTTTTCACAAATATAAATTAGCACTAGTTTCATTTCCTCTTCTGCTCCCCATGCAGCTTTGACATCACGTTGTGTTTTTATGTGCGTCTAAACAATGCTTTTCAAAGGGTCTTGGGTTTAAACTCACTTTTGGCCTTTCTGGATCTGCTAATACCATTTTGAAGCAAAAGTGAGAGACAGAGATTAGAATTAGTAGCAACCATAAACAGGTTTATATGATATACTGTATACACTGTTAAAGAATAATCAGCAGAACTAACCATAAAGGAAACAAAGGTCAGAAGACTAAGGCTTTTCTACACATATAATGGGATAAAAAATCAGAGTGAAATTGACTTTACTTTTCTCAATTGGTTTACTAATTCATAAATAAACATTTAAAGAATGCGTAGATAGGCTGTCCTAAAAACCCCTGAATCAGAAATACTGTACTGTATTGATCCTCCAAACATAAATTGTTGGTGTTACAACCTTTTTGACCCCAAATGCTTTCAAATGTAACACTGATGTTTTATAGCCTTCTGCTGATATGAAAAAGGCAGAAGTGGTTTTATGTCTATGGCTTTGAAAATGTTTCAACAGAATGGCAGACAAAGTTGTGGATCGCGGACCATGGACCGGATGTGCTGTTCTGTTTCTGCAGTCACTTTGTCCCAATGTGAACTTGCTTTCTCTTTTCAAAGAACAAGGAGGGAAATTTATCATTTTTAAAGTCATCAAGCTGACACTCACTGGTGAGAACTGACCCTTTCATTTGGATCTGTTAAGACTGGAGCAGTTTTTAAAATTTTATGTTAATGTTAACTGTTAATCATTTTTTCAGACTCTGCAGGAGGACTTCGGGGCTATGAAATACTGAAGGTCCATGACGCTGATCCCTTTCTGGGTGTGGAACTGAAGTTTGTGGATGTGGCAGCTTGTCAGCAGTTCCTGGAGAGTTACAGCTCTGGAGCTGTGAGCCAGTCTCTTTCACAACACGCCTGTCGGCTTCTGTCCTTGTCCCAAGAGTTGAAAGTGGAGACCAAGCTAAAGGCCAGCACACACAACCTAGACCAGGATCTGGACGAGCTGGAACTTTGCCTAGAGCGCATTCACCTTTCACAGGTTTTCCAGCATTTTTGTTGACGCCAGCGTTTTCTATCATTTTTACTCTACAAAACCTTATACTGTAGATTTTCCATCCCTCATCTACACTATGAAAGTAGTTTGTCTGTGATTAAATTGCACTGTTTCTTATTATTTATTCTCATTGTTTAGGATTTTTTTATTATTATTTCTATGTTAGGTGAGATATATATATATATATATATATTTTTTTTTTTTTTTTCTTTTTTATCTGTGCTGCAGCCAGAGCGTCTGCGTGATGAGGAAATAGATCATCTGGAGCAGCAACTGCGGCGTCAGGCTCTTGGTCCTGCTCAGCAGTTACCAATCATTGTACAAGAAGAGCCTCCTCTCCCCAGCAACTGCTTCAAGTTTCAGAATAAAGTGTTTGGTGAGTTGAGGTCAATGTTTTTAGTGTTGACTTTTTTCCCTAAATGTGTCAGCAACAAAGCTCAAAGTTAACAAAGACCACCGTGACAGTTACACGTGATAAGAATAGATCATTTAGTGGAGAATGAACAAAATTATTCTGTCCATTGTAATGTGCACAAGCAGTTGCATCAGTATGTTTCAAACCATTACTAGAAACTTAATGTACCATGCATTAGCTCCAATCATTCAGGCATTTAATTGTTTTTTAATGAATTCCTGGCAGCCATGAGGTTTATTTATGTCAACATGTTGCAGGGAAACTGCAGAGTCAGAAACCCAGTTGATTATTAAGTCTGCCGGCCATGTCTTGAACTCAGCACATTTTCAGCAAGAGATTAGTTTTTCTTTTACTAAGGCTCAATGTTCACTCTCACTCCTAAAGCCTGCGTCATTTCTGCTTAGGCTCTACTAAGGCATACTGCAAGACTTACTGAAGACTATTTGTATAGCCTCTGTATAACGAAGTCACATACTTTGGAATTAGAATAGTGATGAGGTGGACAGGGGTAGTTCTCTTCACTCTTCACCTTCACTCTTCAAATAATTTTAGATATAAATTATTTAAAAATTATATTATGAAATAATTATCAAAGTATATCATGTATTTATATATTTTTAGTATTATAAAAATGTGTATTTATATTTACATATAAACTTTCTAAGGGAATTTTGTTTGGAGCAAGTTTAAAAGGTTCCTAAAATAGATGTTGAATACAGTCCAATACAACAAACAGCAGCCTACGTATCTGTGGTAGATGCAGTGTGACATTATGAGACACTCCTTCGTCCTTGTCCCTGTTACTCCTTTCACTCTTGCCAAAGATGACCTGGCCTTTATTGGAAACTAGTTCTGTGTTATGTTTTGTCAGTCAGTGAAACTTTATCTACCAACTAAAACATTTTTTACTCTAAGACATAACTGACCCTCGATGTGGTGGTGTCTAATGGGTCCTTTGTTAGCCAGAAAGGGTTAACTTTTAATCTTTTGAATTGCATTAGATGATGCTTTAAATACTGTTTTAATGCTTTAACCAGACACAATGCTTTTAAACAGCGTAAACAATCATTGCTTAAAAAAACTTTGAACCTGTCATCTAAGGTAGAGAGTCTGTGGGTTATTCTTGGAAATGTTTACTGTTGACATGAAATGAGGTTTATGTAATCGCAAATAGCATCTACAATTTCCATTAATGTTCTCTCCTCCCCTTCATGATTCATCCCTTGACCTGTCAGAGGACCGAATGCTTACAGCAGCAGATGTTCAGAGCTTTTCTAATGCAGTGGGCCGACAGTGGAAACACGTAGGGAGGGCACTGGGGAAGAGCTGCTGCGCTTTGAAAGGCCAGGCCATAGACAACCTGGCCTACGAGTACGAGAGGGAAGGGCTGTACGAGCAAGCCTATCAGCTCCTCAGCCGATTCATCCAGGCAGAGGGCAGAGCAGCCAAGCTGAGCCGACTCATCAAAGCACTGGAGGACTGCAAACTGACCAGTCTGGCTGAAAACATTCTGGACATATAGGCATGAGCTGAAGACATAAATATGTTTCTGTTGGTCCAGGTTCATGTACAAGTCGTGAAAAGGATATTTTTCACATTCCAAATCATTCTTGTGTGTGTGTGTGTCCATGTGTGGGCATGTGTGTTTGCATGTGTGTGCATGAGAAATCAGTGATTAATATCTTGTTTTACTTTGCAGTTGTCATTATTGATAATGTGTTTTTCTATGTAGGTAAAATGATCTGTCATCACTGTTATAGAATATGTTTAATGCACTGTATAACTTGTTTTTATCACTTTACTTTTTGATTTTAGCCCTTATACTTCAAGGTGGATTTTGGTATTGTAACCAAAGTTGTGATACAGAAGTGGACATGCAGTTTTAAAGTAATGTAAGATTTTAGTAAATCAGGCATCAAAAACCCCTTTCCTGCAGAGGTTTATGGATCCAAATTACACTGTTTACTATAGAACATATAGTATCAGTTTGTAAATACTGTAATGATCCAAGGTAGAGGACAAATGACAAAAAAGATGACACATACAGCATATGACTCAAACAGAATCTAAATGTTGATTGAAGTTATCAACCAACTGACACTTTATTCTAAACAGATGTTACTACAGACACCAGCAGAGCACAGACAATCTAGTTCCTCAGCTTCAGTTATCCAATCTGATGTCTAAGTCCACGTCCTATTTACTGTCTATGATTGTGGCTAATGGCCCAAATAATGATGTTAAAGATGTTTTTTTATATAAAGTGGGTACATTCAAATTAAATGGCTGTGAACCAAAAGTCTCTGTGTTTGGCTCTGATGCATTAATGTGATTAAAACTGAAAACATCATTTTGTCTAAATTCCCTCAGGTATAATTTTGTGGTAATCCTCCATTGCTGCCTGCCTACCATCACTCACTGTCACACACACGTGCACATGCTCATTATGATTAAACCTCTGATTACTGAACACATGCACTGTGTGTATGTGTCTGAATGTGTCATAATGTGTGTGGGCGTTAAGGCAGAAAGGTTTGTGTTTCTCTTTAAAGGTGATGGATGGATGTGTGTGTGTGTGTCCCACCCCCCTCTTTTACAGTCGGCTTCAGCATCTGACCAGATGTAATGTATAGATTAGAAGGTTTTATCAGACTTTCAAACACTTACTTCTGCTCTGTGCTCCCAGAATAACCTCCAGTGCAGACCTTGCATGTAATCATAGACCTAACACCTCGGGATAACATTAGTGCATTCACAATGGAGCATTAAAAAAAATCTATCACAGAGATTTACAGGTAAAGAAAATGTATTTTTTAGGTACTTATATTACCAGATCTCTGAACATTCTAGCTCTATGGAAAAATAAACAATTATTTTACTTTGCAACAAAATTAAGGTAATGTCCTCAAAATACTGAAGTCAAATTTATTCCCTCCTGCCACTCCTGGCTTTCTCAGGTGTTGCCCCTAATCTCTGGAAGGAGTTGCTCATCCAGGTCAGGTTGTTCCCCACTTTTACTATTTTCAAAAAACACTTTGTATGTAACATGTATATTTTCTGTTTAATAGTTTTCATTTGGCTTCCCTGTGTCTTATAAATGGAACTGAATTGTCCTTGTGTGTGTTTTTCTTGGTTGTATTTATACTGTGAAGCACATTGTGTCTACTGGTTGGATTGGATTGGAGTGGACGCTGTCCATTAAACGTCCTGTTCTTGTTTCAGTTTAGCATGACTCCTGTCTTTTCTGGTTCATTTTTATATTTGTTCCCTTTATTGTGTGGAGTAACGTTTTTTCAAATAACTTGGCCTAAACTGGGAGTTTCTGATTCACACACAAAGGGTGGACTGATTAGTTAATCTTGTGGATAACCAATCACTATCATCCCACAGGTACTTACACTAAAATTAAAGAATGACTCCAAAACTTCTAGAAGTCGCAAAGACGTCTTAGTTAGTGACATAGAATGTTACACCAGCAAGGCGTCTTTACGTCCGAAGTGTCTCTCTGTTGAATAATCTTCAACAAACAGTGATTACAGGTCGTTGTGTGGCTCTGACGTCACACCGCTGGTCTACCGTGATTGGTGGTTGAGCGTCGCGCACAGCCCCTAAAGCCGCGCTCGCGCCGTTCCTGCTGCCCGTTTGCGCGCACACATAAGTTGAAATCGCTCAAGCTCTGTCTTCGTCATTATCGTCATCATCTTCAGCAGCGGCACTAGCAGCAGCAGCAGTAGCAGCAGCAGGAACAGCAGCAGAACCGCCCTATAGACAACCACACACACACACACACAGAGGGCCCCCTCCCAACGCTACAACAACCATAACCCGCAGGCTCTAGCTCTTCGACCCCACCCCCCAACTCCCTCTGTGAGAGGGGACGCTGCGAGAATCACAGATACACACACACACTGACACACAGACAGGGAGACACGGAGGAGAGGAGCGTCCGTGGACCGTGGCTGTGTTCTGCCCCCAATCCGGGCCTAATGCTGTAGTAAAGGAGCGACAGAGAGAGACCGCGCTGTGACTGAGAGTGGAGAGGAGGGACAGGGCGGACCACAGCCACCATCACCACCACCATCACTGCTACTGCGACCGGAGGATTGTTTCTTCGCCTGGAAACATGGGATGTACACTGAGCGCCGAAGAGCGCGCAGCTCTGGACCGGAGCAAGGCCATCGAGAAGAACCTGAAGGAGGACGGATTGGTGGCCGCCAAGGACGTCAAATTGCTATTGCTCGGTAAGAGAAGCGATCGGCGGTGTCGCGGGCTCCCGGTGTGGCCGGGGAGTGGTAGAGGTAGTGGTAGTGGTGCTGGTGCTCTCCGTGGTGCTGATTTCACTTCTCACTTCTACCCTCCTTCCGTTTCTCCACAGGCGGCGGAGAATCCGGAAAGAGCACAATTGTCAAGCAGATGAAGTGAGTGACCGTGTGCTTGTGTGTTCATGTGTGTGCGCATTTTCCCTGCCGGGTTCTCTCGCTCCTATTTTATTTTAACAAACTTACACCGATGGAGGAGGACGAGTCAAAGGCCCGAGATTTAGCCTCCTCCTCCTCCTTCTCTTGCCTACCGCCCCCCCCCTCCCCCCCACTTCCACCTCCCCTCTCTCTCTGCGCTCAAGCTGGTTGAGCCGCCATGTTTCAAGAGGCCGAGAGAGAGAGCGAGAGAGGGTGAGAGAGCGAGAGAGCCAGAGAGAGAGAGAAAGAGAGAGAGAGGAGCCGGTGTCTCCTCATGCACCTTCTCCTGCAGAGGAGCAGTGAGGAGTTGCGAAGCTGTTCTCACTCCTGGTGCTGATGTGACTGCTCTGAAACGACTACAGGGAGTGATCGGCTGGGGATCAGTGGGTGTTGTTCTCTCTCTCTCTCTGTCTTTCTCTCTCAGTGTCTCTCTCCCTCTGCTTCTGTGAGGTCACTGCAGCTCCATTAGTGAATACCTCTGCTTTTAATCTTAATGGCTTTAAGTGCCTGATATCGCTGGGAGTACTTTGTACTATAAAGCGGATTTACTCAGAAATATTGCCCCTAAAACCACATCAAAACCTCCTCCTCCTCCTCCTCTCCAAGCTAAAAATCATCCGCTGGTGTTTTTCAATCGTTGTTTCTGTTGCTGTTGTTTTCTCTAAACCTTTTAAAGCTTCTGGATGTTTCGGTCCATCCAGTCTTAATTTTGCACAAAAGTGTATGGGCATTGGCGGGCTTTTCTGTACTGCACCATCTCAGCTCCTCTTGTCCTGTCCTGCATTCTTCCCTCTCCATCCTGGTTGTTTCTTGCCCTTTTTTCGTCCTCCTGTTTTCTCTTTGCGCATCTATTTCCTGCCTCCAAACTCATTTCAGCATTGGCCATATTCTCCTCCTTTTTTTGCTCTGCCCCTTCCAGTACCTTCAGCTACTGTTCCTGATTCATTCCTTCATTTTTGACCAATTTCCTTTGTTGTGGTCACTCTTTCTTCTTACCTCATTTTCCTATTTATTTCCTAATCTTTACACCTCCTGCTTCTGACTCCCTTTGGCCTTTAGCTTGTTCCATTTTCTTTGACTTCTCCTCGGTCGTCTTGAACTCCCTTTGACGCCTTGTTTCCTTCGTTTTCTTTCAACTCCTACCTCCTTCTTCTACATCACTCCCTTCCTTTCCCATAAACCCCCAGCTCATATTTCCTTACCTTACCTCCATTCCAGGCCTTCTCAATTCATTCTCCTCTCCCCCAACCCCTCCCCCTGTGCTTCCCTCTACCACCAGCTTCCATCTTTTTCCTTATCTCATTTCCTTACATTTCACCTGCTGCTGCTCCACCTCCAGTATCATAGTATCATACTATCCGTCCAT